TCAAATAAAACATTCTCACTCAAAGTTAAGATGGCAGCAGTATGGTTTGAGTGGAACTGTAGAAATTAGTTCCTCTGTTAATGAATCTATTCAATGGCGTGGAGATGAACGTCAAATCCTTTCCTGCAATTTGGCAATTTAACTCAGACTCACTTGTGGAAATTAGCAAATGCCTTCCACTCTCTTAAAGCATGGAAAAGAAATGTAAACATTAAAGATGATAAATATGCTTGGTGAAAAGGCTCCACCAAAGCCTGTTCCCTAGACCACTGACAATCAACATGTACAAGATAAAAAATGGTAGACCCCAATGATGAAGATGTTGCTTATGATGAAGCTACAGATGAATTTGCTTCCTTCTTGAACAGACAGACATCTCCTAAGATTCTCATCACGACATCAGATAGACCTAATGGGAGAATAATAAGAGTCTGTGAACAGCTCTCAACAGTTATACCAGATTCACATGTTTATTACAGAAGAGGACTGGCTCTGAAAAAAAATTATTCCAGTGCATTGCAAGAGATTTCACAGACCTGATAGTTATTAATGAAGATTGGAAAACACCGAAAAAACTTATTTTGAGTCACTTGCCAAATGGGCGAACTGCTCATTTTAAAATGAGTAGAACACACTACTCATTTATTCCAATAAATGCCTGGTTTATTTTAATAGGCATTTGATTATTTAATTGCTCTGATAGAAGTATTGGTTTCTTCTATGATGGCAGGAAAGGTCTGAACTGAATTTGCCATGGGGGCCTGCATGAGGCCCCTCTGGGAGTTTCCCAAGGATAGAGGCAAAGGATTACTTTGTCTGTCTCTTGTTGATCAACATTCCTTGGTCCAATATTTACTCTTTCCACACACCTTCTGCATAATCCAGAAAGGAGGGACATTATGTTGCCATTGTTTGTGGAATAAACATTTTTTCTAGGAATGCCCTGTTTACACTCCCCTTTCAAATGACCTTGTTTTCCACACCCCAAACATCTGACATTCCTCAAACCTTTTGAAATTGATTTTCCTATCCACATATCATCATCGTCATGAGACTCAGCATTAATGTGTCCCTGATCCAGTCCTCCAAGGGTGTAGATCTTACCTTTAATGACCTGATTATTCTTTTGCATGCTGCTATAATCAGTCTAACCATTCGAAGTGTTGAAGTGTTCTTCTTAATATTCTTTCAGCGAGCTTCTGTACCAGGATCATCATAGGTGAGTTTTGCCATGGCCTCAACAACTTCACCAGTATCCCAGTTGTTGGTCTTGCTCTAAGAAGGTATAGACTTTCAGAGTTTAAGTTTGAAGACATACTAGAATTTATACAGGTATGCAGGTATACAAGCGATGCTCTAATTATTAGGGTGCCATTATCCAGGCTCCTTCAGTAGCAAGTAAGGTAATGGTACATATGCCATAAAAGGATGGTTTTAATTTAGCCTAAATGACTGTGGTCATATTTTGTTTGTGCTAAAATATGTAGATGTAACCAACCATCTTATTAAATAAGAAACACAGAACCAATGCAAAGAAGAAAGCCAAGAGATCAGAGCTAAGAGCCTTACTGCCTACTGCAGCTAGCCTCTTAAGCCAAGAGACCTCTCTGAAAAGGAGCTACTTCCTGTGTGTTTGTCTTTAT